CCATGTTTAAAAGATCTCACAGTCCTAGGAAAACACTTTTTTAAAAAATGAAATACAACAAATAAGGTATGCTGTGGAGTCCTGGGGGAGAAGTTTCCCAGAGTCTTTGAATTTCCTCCTATCCTCCTTCTTTACAAGATATCTAAGACCAAGTCCTTTTCTGCAGTCTCTCAAACAAGGTAAAAAAGAAAAATACCCCCTAGATATATTCCTTAGATTTTCTATTATGCTTCTCAAGTTCCCAGTAGCTTCTGAAGTAAGCCTAAGATGAATTCTGGAGTTATTTTTTTATTATGTTTTAATTTTAGTTCCTCTTTAGGTTTAAGATGAAATACATGATCATAACTGCTGTGCTTGGAGATGCATTTCATGGCACCATTTGTACCTGACCTGTGCAAGGTCATATCATGGAAAGAAGACTGACATGGTAGATAACAAGTTCAATGCAGCTTTCAGTTTTGGAGAACTCCAGGGCAACCTATTTAAAAGCTTGCTCTATTAATATAATAGGGAAAGTTTTTTTAAAAAAGTTCTGCTTAAACAGTACAAATAAGATATATTCTATAGAGAGAGATGACTTTGGCTTGGATAACATCAATCTGAAACCTATAGACCAACTGCTTAAATTACTGATCACTAAGGCTTACTCTGGTATCAAATCATGACCTTGGTGCAGATTGGGGCTGGCTGGTCTAATCACTGTCCAGGATAAGTTCTCTGTCTGCGCAGTTCTCTCTGCCTACTACTTTCACCCAGTCAAAGATCCTTCATTTTAAGCATCTACTCCTCTGTAAATATTTGAGGTGCTCTCAAGGAGGATTAGATTTTCCTCTGTGCACTCAGAGGTATTTGTACCCATCTCTATTGAAGTATTTTTCAGATTCTACTATAACTATTTGTTTACTGCCTCCACCTCTAGAATATGAGGCCTGTACTCTTGCTTTTATCTGGGATTTATTTCGTGCCAGGCACTATTCTAAGTGCTTTAGAAATGTAGCTGCAACCTAAACCTTTGTGGTGAGTATTATCAGCAGATTTCACAAATGAAGAATCTGAGGTGAAGAAAGGTTAATTTTTTCCAAGGATGCAGTGGAGCTTCATGGAGTGGGTGCCGGGAGCTGGACTAGAGCAGTCTGAGTTCAGAGTCTGAGCTTCGCTTATTATTCTTTGTGTTTGCCCAAGGGACTAGGGAAAGCAGTCCATAGACATTAAACAAATAGAACGATCATTTTGATTTCTCCATCGGTTTCTAAGCTTAACTTTAGAAATATATTTTCTGGGTCTTAAATTGATTTCACCTTTACCCCTGAACAGTGAATGAGTTTGTTTTCCCAGAGAAAATTCAGCCCCAAAAGGGAAAGAGATCTGGTTGGGAGGCTGCAAGCCTGGGATCTGGCAGGCTCTGCTATGCCTGTCTCTGCTCTCAGACGCCCTGCACTGTGCACAGTGTGTGATGTGTACTACTTTGGAATAGAAATTCTACCAATGGGGAAAACACCCAGGTGATTCTCTGTAAATGAATGTTACTCCTGGAAGAAATGGTTACTTTGGGTATGATCCAATATGAAGAATCATTGTTTTGTTTATGCATGAGTGAGGACCGCAAATCATTAGGCACCAGATGTATTTATTTTTCTTCCTGATATTTAAATTTAATCTTAAATCCCCTCAGATGAATGCCACCTATTTTACCTTTTAAATCACTTTTGGAGAGGGTAGGGAGTTTGGGATCACAATAAAAGATGTTCAAAGGGATTTTTTTTGTAGTGCTGGGAATAGAACCCAGACCTTCTACGTACTATACCTCTGGGCGAAACACCTTCTAATTCTTGAATTTTAGACATATTCTTATTTTTTCTGATAAAATAATTCTCTTTGGAACTCCACTTTTTTAGATTAAAGTAATTTACTCAATTGCTTGGATTAGAAAATTTTCAATAACAGGTAAAATATAATTTTGTATTATACACCTCTTCCAGTGCTGTGAAATTATCTCTTAAAACATTACTTTTAGGTCTATAGTCTACTTTCAGCATGCTTCTCCCATCCTGGGAGTATCCTTCCAACACCCTTTATTTGGTGCTCCATTCTCTATCTGAGCTGCCTTTCCCCCTAGCATGTGTGGCTGGCCTCCAAGCCATGGAGCAAAATTCCTGGTACTAATCTTGGCCATTCTACCACAAAATTTGTAAGTCTACAACTGTACCTCATAGTGTCTCACTAATAAAAAATTTTTTAAAAAATTACTTTTAGGGCTGGAAAGATAGGCCCACAGGCTGGAGCACATGCTTTGCATATAGGAGGTCTCAGCTAATCCCTGGCACCACATAGCCTCCTGAGCACTGCCAAGAACAATCCATGATCACTGAACCAAGAGTAATACCGAGCATCACTGGGCATGATCTCAAAACTGCCCAAGCGCATGCATGCACCCACGCGTGCGTGCACGTGCGCACGCGCACGCACACACATACACACACACACACACACACACACACACACACACCACACCATGATTTCTAAAGGCTATATTATATTTCATTAGATTTCAGCTCGCTATTGTTCTGCTTTAGTAGTTTCCCATGCTTGCCCTCACTCCTTCATTCTGCCCACCCTTGAGCCAGGACCAGGGATTATGTTGCAGATAATAAAACATTTACCTTCCATTCCTTGCCCTTTTTCTGACAACTGGCCATCAGGATTCCCATGTTTATACATCCTTTCTGTTGTTATTAGCCTGTTGTTAGACTGTTGCTTCCTCAAGGAAGTCCTCCTTGATGCCTTGATGAAAATAACTTCTCCTAGTCTGATTGATCCCTTTACTTTTCTTTCACAATATGTCACTTTCTATAAATCATTAGATCTAAGTGTGTTACCTACAGTACCCAAGCTGCATGAGTCAAACACCAGGGGCGATTTATGTATCCCCATGCTCAGCCCTAAGCAGTAGTTTTCAATCCTTTTACATCTGTATACCAGGTCATGGTGCTGTGGTTGAAACCACTATGACAGGATATTATGAACATGAGCTCTAGGCCAAAGGGCTCCTTAAAGTTGCTCCCAAGCTCTGCTACCTGTACCTGTGCGATCTTAAGCAAGTTGCTTAACTTCCTTGTGCCTATGGTTTCTCCACTAGGAATTACAACAGGGCCACCTAAAGGTTTCTTGCGAGAACTAAATAATAGAATACAACACAGAACTGTAGAATGGCATCTGGCATATAGAATCCATCCAATACAAGATAACTTTTTTTATTAAAAAAAGTAGTTACTCATGGTCTGGGGATACGGCTCAATGATAGGGTACATGTATGATACGGGTAAAGCATGTACATGTATCATATGCAATCAATTCCCAGCACTCAATAGCAAAAAAAAAGAAAAAGAAAGAAAGAAAGAAAGAAAGAAAGAAAGAAAGAAAGAAAGAAAGAGTTTGTTCAATAAATCAAACACAATGGAGATTTTAGTTGGGTCCATTTGCATTATCACCCCTGTTATAACCAGGCACTAGTGTCATCAACTTCTCCCTATGGTCTGCTCCTTAAAATTGCTTCCTGAGAAGCTCTGTTCCCCGCTCTGTCCCACGGTGTTAGTCCCAACTCTGATCCTTTCATCACATCTCTGCCTAAAACATGTGCCATGCCAGCTCTCATCAGAAACTCTTGAAGTGTGACCTTCCCGGTGGAACTTTATTTCAGCGGGACTGAGCTCATCATTTCATCCTCTGTCTCCAACAAGTTAAAGGTGCTTGTTTGAGGTTCCAAAGCTTTTTAAATCATCTGAGCTTCTCACTAGCTGAATAGTTTCAGTACTGCCGAGCAGGGTAATGCTCTCCTCCGCTTTCACTTAAAATTTTGGGTCCAGAGAGCAAAGGGGCTGCTTAACTTGATCTGTATACATTTACCACAACACCTATCCATATGCATGTTAAGTAAATGGGACTTGATGATGATTTAATTACTTTGTTCATGCCAGGAATAGAAACTATGATCTCTTAAATCTGTTTTATCCATATTGTAATATGTTTCAATACTGTAACTATTATGTGATTAATTTTCTACCCTTTGATAAAAAAAACTATTACAAAAGAGGGGTTACATGAAAATGCAAAATTAATAAAATAATTTTTCACATCAAGAGTTCAAAGACACCTTTAAAACAGTGGTGCAATGTATTGAAAGGTGTCTGATTTAAAGTTTAATTGTATTTGCTGTAGGGGGTATTTTTTCAATTTAAAACAGATAACCAAAATATGTCAATACTCATTTTTAAAGTACTTGTTGTATTCCAGTGCATGCACCATTATGGAGAACTTAAACTCAGAGCAAAAAGATTTGTTGCAAAGCATATGACCTTCTTCCCACTACAATGACCATCCCCTAATTAGGCAATGCATCTGATAGTCATTAACAGGAATGAGATAATGAATCACTTTCTCTCCTCTTTGTTAATTTGCTGTAACCAAGCGGCTAATGGATGTCAGAGCTGAGTGATTGCACTGATTATAGTGATTTATAGTTGCAACAAAACAATTTAAAACCATTCTGATTATTCATGTTAAAGATGCTTTATGTTTTGTTTACTAAACGTTTTATGTTCCCCTTTCTCTTACCCCTAAAGTACTGTACCCTCTTACCCTGATGTTTCTCTCTCTTTCTCTCTCTCTCTCTCTCTCTCTCTCTCTCTCTCTCTCTCTCACACACACACACACACACACACACATATACACACACACAGAAACTATCTCTGTGGGAAAACTTGAAAGTTCTGGGATTTTAAAATATTGTTTTAAACTGTCATTTCATTTCATTTCATTTATAAACATGCATATACATATATATGCACATATATGTTATATATAGAGAGAGAGGTGGGGGAGGAAAGATATAAAGTTTACACAGTAGAAACAAAAAGCCTTAGGGTGGAAAGAAAACTTCAGTGGTGCTTAGTTCAAAAGAAGACAGAAATAAGAGGAAATAAGCCAAACTTCAAGCCACTTACCTTGGGGCTTCCAGTCCCTTCCTCATCCTCCACAGACACATCAGTAGCCAGAATCTCAGCTTTGATGGTATCCAGAGCCCGGAGAATCCAGCTGTGTTGCCGTTTGATTTGCCTCTGCAGCTCCTTCCATTGACTTGCAATCATCCGCAGCATGTCCTTCAGTCCTTCTCCAAAAGGAGGGGAAAGCACAAGGTATGAGTTGCCTTTATTTTTACCCATTATTATTTTTTATACAGCAAATTAGGGAGCAATTGCAAACAACAAACATATTTTACATGATGATTGCCATCACCTGCTCTATTAGCATTTGTCATTCAAAATAGAGAAGGGGAATTTTTGGCTTGACATCAGACATAAGAACACAAACCATGGTAACTGCACACATATGGACTTTGCAATCATTGATTTACATGTGTGGGCCAAAAGCAGGCATGAGGTACAAAATTATGATGTACAAAAGCTGCTGTCACTATCATTTCATATTTCATATAATAGGGCCCATGTATAAGGGTGTGGTGTCTTTAAAAGATGTATGAAAATAGGGAAAGTTAATTTAGTGAGAAATACTATAAATGGCTAAAATTAAGACAGCAGTCTTTAGCATTAGCAAGTCCGATTAATACTGCTCTTTTCTTATGTAGCTGTGTAAGCTCCAAATCAAGGGCTAAATTATAATTCATCCTCTTATGTACTTTTACTATTAGACTAAGTATAATCAAATGACAAAATCATTTTCATGTTTAATCTGTACTCATAAATACATTCGTACTGGGGTAAGAGTTGGTTTAAAGCCAAGACTCTGCTAAAGGAAAGCCTAGCAAAATACATGCAAAATTAGCATGTATGTGAACTGGCAGGCAAATAATCAGATATCTCTAGACTGCCTGCCTTATATCTGTAATGATATCTATAAGTACTCTAATGCATATGCATTTTAACTATATGCACAGTCCTCATTCATTATCTTAATGTTATTTCCAGAGCACCTACATCAAAAAGCATGTCAATGTGAAGTTTGCAGAAATGTACTTTCAATTGAAACTCAGGCGCACAGCAAGCCAAAATAAAATGAACAGACCATTTGGAGGCAGTATTTCATCTTATAAGTATCACAGCATTGTATGCAGTATATGAAACATTTATAAATCTTGAAGGTCAATCTGATAATGTAAATATTAATAATACATAAGGAAGTGAATATATGCAGTAATTTACAGCAATGCTTCTTCATTCTTAATAGTCTGGAGACATAAAGACTCGCAATATTTCAGGAGGATTTACCTGCTTTGTGAGATGCAATAAGCTCAAGAAGTTGGTGTCCTTCCTCCTCCACTGCTTCCTTTAGAGCACAGTGACTGTCTACATTCAACTTAAAACTCTGTAAAGGAAAAAAAACATGAGGAACACACCCTGGCAGGGCAGTTCAGTATAAAACATCCATGCACAATTACTCACAAGTTTTTATCAAGAACCACAAAGCCAATTTACCCAATAGACAAACTAATTTGCAATACTAAAAGCTATTGATATTTGGGATCTGGGCTTAAGACATTTTCATTAGATTAGCAGAGTACGTCTGTTTGAAATAGCTGGCAAATCTAGAAATTCATTTGTTTTTTATGAAAAGTCACATCCCTTGGGCTATATCAAGAGTAGCAGTGATCTATAAAATACATTGAATTTCTACCAGCATATATGAGCTCTGTTCTTCATTTAAAAAAATGCTAGTGATATCCCTATTTATGAAACCATAAAAATTGGCAGCATAAAATATATTAGCCTTGTGTGCACATATATAAATCTATTAATGTAGTAGGGTTTGACTCGGCTACGTATCTTGACTATCACACAGACCACAGAATATCAAGGTACATTTAGAGTCTGGCTACATTGAAAAGTCAAATGCTTTTGAAATCTTTCTTTTATGAAGTTTATTCCTTGTAACTGGACACTGCTTTATACATCAAGTACATTGTGGACAATTTTTTTTATTTTACTCCTAACAGTCATCCAAAAGACATAAACTGCTGTCATTCTACAGCTGGGAATTCTCACTCAGAGCCATTTCTTTCAGGAAACTTTCCCTTCTTCCTCACATAGAAGCAACTACTCCCTTCTTTTATCTCTACTCCTTCTATTGCCTCTAATCCCTCCTTCTAATATAAGATTTATCATTGCATTCTCTCTCTCTTCACTTGGCTACCAAATACATTAGCAATTTTGAAAATATTGCCAACTTCATATTTATCTGTAACCCATATTACAAACATGGTGCTCCAAACGAGTTAGCAGGAATAGGGATAGCCACAGGAATAGATTAATGGTAATTTCCGAAAGGAAAATCTTCCATTAAAACATTTCCCTTTTTTGTTTTGTTTTGTTTTGTTTTGTTTTGGGGCCACATTTAACAATGCTAAGGACTTACTCCTGGCCCTGTACTCAGGGATCATTCCTGACAGGACTCAGGAGACCCTATGAGTTGCCAAGGGTCAGCTGTGTGTGAAAATGCCATGTCTTTGGAATTCCACGTGAAAAATCTATGCCCTGATGAATTGGAACAAGCAGGAATTTTAAAATGCACTGTGGAAAAAATTGGGACTCTTCCATGATGGGGATCCAAAATAGACATGTTTTACACTCACTGAACATTCACTGAACATTAGCTATACATATTGTACTAGAGTTAGCATTAATATTTGATACAGTCGAGGTGATATAGTCCCAGTAAGAATGAAATTGGGATAAAGAGGTGAAACAGCCACAATATGGGAAATTGGACTTCTTTCATTTATTTAGAAACCACATAGTATGTCTGCTTGTCCAGTAGGCCAGGAAGGAGAAACTGAAGGGCTGACAAGCATGGTACCTGGCACCAAAGGCAATGCAAAAGTCACTAAGAAGAGAATAAGATGCCACCCGCATCATTGCAGGGACTCAGTGGAGTGTCTGGGTGCTCTTTTATTTCATGGAGATAACTTCAGAAGATAGACATTAAGATGAAGGAGACAAAGACAGGCAGATAAGGCTGTGAAATACAGAGATAGGAATTTTGACTATAAAGAAACACTGACTCCAAATTAGAAGTCAGTTCATTGAACTAGAGGTACAGTTTCAGCCAAACAGGCCAGGAAAGGACACTCTCGGGATTCCCCACATTATCTCTTATATCATCCTATTTCAGCTGCAGGAATTGGACTGAATGAAATTAAACGTGTTAATCCTGACACTGTTGGCCAACCCAATCTTTATAAAACATTTAATTTTTGTTTATTTATATTAATGTTTTGCCCTCCATTAGAAATCTTCAGCTCTAAAGCCCTGCCATGCTCTCTTATTTGAAAAAATAAACATCACACCCAGATTCAATGGAGCGAACATGAGGTGACTGGTTCCCAAGTTTCCAATACACACACACAAAATAAACATGTTCTCCAGTCCTGTAAGATATCTCACTGCTCCCCACCCTCGGGCTGTCTCTGGTTCTCATGTTTACTACAACAAACATACTGAATAGTTGAAAATCCTGAGTTTTGAAGCAAGAGAACATAAGGACCTGAGAGTAGGCACAATAATTTGACAGAATTGAAGCTCAAAGTACAGAATAGATGCACTTGAAGCAGTTAGATCTGTTCTGCCTCATAATGATGTGAGGGGAAATTTTAATATGTTACTTTATTTTCTGGGCCAGAGCAATAGCATAGCAGGTAGGGCATTTGCCTTACATGCAGCCGAGCCAGGTTTGATTCCTCTTCCCCTCTCGGAGAGCCCGGCAAGCTACTGAGAGTATTTAGCCCACATAGCAAAGCCTGGCAAGCTACCCGTGACATATTTGATATGTCAAAAAGAGTAACAACAGTCTCACAATGGAGATGTTACTGGTGCCCGCTCGAGCAAAATTGATAAACAACGGGAGGACAGTGCAGTGCTACTTTATTTTCTGATGTGTAACTAATTGATTAGGAAATTTGAAAACATGATGCATTCATTAGTAGGGAAAAATAAACTTACAAGTTTGATGCTGTAGAATAGAATCATCTACTAAAAAATTAAATCGGTACAGTCTAGCTTAGCTTTTTAGGACATCCACTAACCATGAATGAATAATATTAATTAATTCACAATGAGCTTCTGTGAAGTCAATAAAACTGATACATTAGCAAAATTGTCAATAAAATGTTTGGCTGTTCTGCGATTCTTTAATACAATTTGCTCATTTTGTTTCCACCTTTTCCTACGAAAAAAAGACTACAGAGATTTGATTTTTCTGGGGTCAGAGAGATAATACAGCAGGTAGGGAGCTTATCTTGCATGCAGCTGACCTGGGTTTGATTCTTGGCATCCTATATGGTCCCCACCTTCACAGCCCCCTGATTACAACCAGGAATGATTCCTGAGTGCATAACCTAGAGTAACCACTAGCACTGCTGGGTGTTCCCCCCAGCCCCAAAAAAGGGTGGAAAGACCTTTTTTAATATTTCCCCCCAATGAATATGATATTTGGACAGATTTCTGTTGTTATTCTACAAAACATTTTCTATGCAATGCCTTATGACACATAGTCTCACTATAATATCCACAGAACACCCTGAAAATGCAGGGTGTGTTCTGGAAATTTAATTTGTGATGACAACTACATCACCATAGGCAAGCAGTATCATCTACTTGTAGTATCACAGATTATGTAAAATTACATAAATATGAATAATCTGGGTCTTGAGGAATACTAGACCTTTAAATGTTAGCTCCTAACTTAAAACAGCAAGCACCAAACACCTAGAAAAAAATAACTATGTAAACGGAAAATGCAGTGACTAGACAAAAAACCGGAGTATCAAAATGATGACACAACAGAGGTTGACCAATGTATGTTTCCTTTATGGCCATATCTAGCCCCCCTCACCATAATTTGGTACAGAACTAAATGCATTACTTCTTGACAAGATCTAATTCCCACAGGAGGCTGATTGCACTTTGATTATGATCAGATATCTCAAAGCAAGAAAATACACTACATCTAATCCGTCCATTCGAATTTTTAAAGCCAGTTTGATGGGTATGAGAGGTTATGTGGATATGCAACTGAGACCATATATCCTGTGACAGGAACAAAACTGTGACAGATGTGAAAGATCCTAAGCATAGATATTCCTCCTTGTGCAGGAAATAATGGGGAAGAACTATAATCACATTCAGAGACTTAAAACTCCAGCGTGGTCCAGCCTTGGCATGATTTCTTGAACACAGACATTGAGTCATGACCACATAAAACTATTAGTGCTTTCCAGGTCCACTGAGGTCCTATGACACTTTTAAACAATCAAAAGCGACAAAAAGAGCTAGTTAGTATTTCCTGGCCTAATATCAGCTTTAATAAAACATAAATTAAATATATATTAAAATTCCTTTTTCCATGCTCGCCAAGGATCACACTTGCACTTCTTTTAGTTGTGGCTCCCGCTGGGGGTTGTTTTTCTGGTACTCTAACACACCTAGTGGTGCAGTCACTGGAAACTGCAGTTTGGGAGATCCCAAACAGTAGAGACTCCAGGTTCCAACTACAGGGCTGTCACGATCACACTTGAAACATGTGGAACTCCGGGGATTTGAGCTCATGACCATATACTTACAAGGCAAGTGCTCTAAGATATTGCACTATTCCTTTGGGTCTAATTTTTAACAAATCTCCATATTTTTCTTGGAGGTGGCATCACATTGCCACCAATGTGTAATAGAGTTCCTTTCCTTTCGTGTTCTTGCCGGCACTTGTTTCTGTCCCTCTGACAGAGACCCACGGCAGAGGCTGGCAAGCTACCCGTGGCATATTCGATATGCCAAAAACAGTAACAATAACAGGTCTAATTCCCCTGACCCTGAAAGAGCCTCCAATACATTGGGAAAGAAGAGTAAGGAGAGGATGCTAAAATCTCAGGGTTGGGATGAATGGAGACGCTACTGGTGCCTGCTAGAGTAAATCGATGAAAAACGGGACGCCAGTGGTACAGTGATACAGTGATAGATAACAAATGTTTAGAATATACAATTGTAACTCAAGCAGGTTATAGTGGGTTGGGTAAAAGAGATAAGAAAGTAAAAATTCTATTAGACACTGTACAGAATAAATGTATAAATAGGGTTTGTAATATGACAGGGGACTTTAAGTGAACCAAATGTGTCCTAGACAGTAAAGTTAAAACATTTTAAAATGTTGACTACCAAGATGATCAAATGAAAACAAGATTATTGGGCTGTATTCCATTCAAGTGTGGTAGGTGTTGGATAGATGCTATGGTACCCACACTGGGAGTCACCATCTACAAAGCCTAGAGGGAGCTTGTGATAAAAGATTGATTTGTGAGCCAGAAAAATACAACAAGGGTT